GATTACTCGTGCTACAAGAACCAGGATATGATGGCGCATATCCTTGACGTCGAAGAGCGTCGTATTTTGATACAGGTTTCTTTGGGAATACGCGGTTTCGAATATAATTGAACGAGTGTCTCTGATTTCGGTCCAATAAGCGTAACTTATCAAATAAAACGAGTGAGCGATTATTTTTGCACGAAAATAGATGAAAAAAGATATTTTAGAATCAGAATCATACCGACAAACAAGGATCTATAAATTTAAATCAAATGGAAAATGTTTAATAAATTAATGACTTCGAGTTTCTATTTTAGTTACGAAACGTTTGTTTATCTTAAATAAAATTTGTTTATTAGGTTTCTGGATATACATAGAATACACAAAATGACTATAAAACTTATTTATTATATCTTATATCATTCTGTATAAAATATCGATTTATCATTAGAGGTAATACAACTGGATACATGAATAAATACAATTATTACGAAATTTGTAATTACCATGTGCTTCGTGTTATAAAATGTCTACGAAATCTTGCAAAAAAATGAACCAATTAATTTTAAATTGAAATCTGGAATAAATTGCTTAATATTTTTAGATTGTACGAGTGTAAGAGTCTGCTGAAGAAACTGAATGAAGTAATTCTTTTTACAAGTCGAATCAGAATTTTGTTTCTAAATAAATAATATTAATTCATGAATAAATAAAATAATAGCCAAACACAATTTACTAAGTCACAAGTCACGATTTAAAAATCGCAAATGACCATAATTCGAAATTCTTTGGAAACATACAACAAAATATTTATAATTAATTCTAATTAGTTTTTGATAAATAGACTTAATTTTGTAATATTTTTGGTACATTCCCATTTGGGCACACTTAGAGTCTTATTTCAACTTTTAAAGAAAGAGGTGAACGAGAAGACAACTTCTCGTGTTGAAAGAAAATAATAAGAAGGACCGACTCGCGTAGATTAAAGAAACGTGCTTCTTCCCACAAGAAGTATATAAACTGTAAAGGGTACGCTTAATACAAGCGATACCAAGCTGTGAAATATAAATGAGATAAATGAGATTATAAATTTGGATTTACTTCTACTGGTACAACTGATTAATAATGGTAAAATGATATTTTATCGTAAAATAAACGTCAAGAAATTAGTCGAAGACCTTTAGGATACACATTTTCATTCGAGGCACTCGTACATCTCACGTCCATCATAATATGTATACGATTATTATTACGATTGACATAATGTCTCTTGCCCATTCCATATTTCGAGAACATCGTAAAAGTGCTTATTTGTAATATTTAAAGCTTACCGTTTCTTACAATCTTAGGAGACTACAGTAATGTTCGCAGCATTTATTATTACATGCACATTCAATATTATTTTTTTTTATATATTTTGCTCTATGTACCTTTTTTTATTGTTACAATATGATATGGAGAAATGTATATATCAACGTACCTCGTATGTACATGTTTTTAAGGTATCTACATAACATCTCAACACACGCACATACTTTCCTTATTGAATGTTCAAAAATTAAGTTCAACAAATTTCTTTTATATTTTACACAAATATTAGAGATTCATCGAATGCGCGAAATTATTAACGATCAACGATAACATAAATATTAACAACGATTTTTAATATTCACAAATTACGGTAATGTTGAGGTGTTATTTTTTTAATTACTTCAAGTAACAGCGTAGTGTTTAATGAAAGCGGTAAATGATGAGAGTACAACGACTTGCAATAAGATATTCTACGTAATGGGCTGTATATTAATACTATTATAGCAATGGCTCAGCTCAGTTCCTGAACATTTGCACCTCGGAAGCATTCATTAATTTATTATTTCATTCCGATGTTCTTTCACTTTACATTTGAAAATATCTTCTGTCCTTTTTTTAATATCTACTTACAAGAAGCATCTCTTCACGCAATTATGTATATGCAAAAAAATACTATCCTTTGTAAAATACCAATGCAAAATATTTTAGTGTTCATACGAGTCGTTTATATCATGACGAAACATTCAAAGTTTTTATTTTTTATTCTGCATGATTCGCTTCGCACTAATAATATAGAAGCGCACAATTGATAAACACTGATATCCTCTATTGTATCATTTGCTCAGTTGAACAACAATGTAATAACTAATATATAGTATCTTAGTTATTAATTGATTACAATTCTTTTATTAACTACTACTTTATATATAATATAGTTGTATAGTCACAGTTTCGTATGAGGTGATTTTGATTACGGTAGAGGCGGTGTAATTTTGGACACCATTCGTAAACTGCGTAATCTCTTCTAAAAGTAATTTTACCCGTTACTAAATTGAATTAAAGTAACTAAAGTTTAAATAAGATAAACTGACACTGTTCTTTAATTAAAAACAGGTGTTTCCTTGTTTTAATTAGTTTCCGAAATAATATTTGTGAGATAGATGATGCGAAAAGAGTTCCAACTCAATACAATTTTAACCAACATTTCAAAAGACAATGCGAAATAAATATATTCGATCCCTTAACAAAAAAAGTCTGCAATTAAATGACGATCCCTCTACAGAATTTGATGAAAAGGAGAATGGTATCATACACGTGACGCATCGTATTATGGAGAATCAATTTATGAATACAAATAATATTATTAATAAATATCATACACATTTACGAGAACCGTGTATCATTCTGATAGATACAATCGCGAATTTTAATTCTTCTTTTCCTTTATCAGTAGCTTAGCATTCATGGACTCGTAGAAAGCTTGTAGAAGATCTTCTTTGCTTAATTTTGAGCTAACTTCCTTGAAGATCTTTAGCAAATCCTCCTTGGATTCGCTAGATTCCAGCATGTGCTTAGCCGCGAATTCGGGAGACCAAAGCGCATCGAAAACGGTCTTCATAACGGATGGGGATTGAGATTTGAGAGCCTGCGCTATGACGTTCGCGCTATTGTTTTGCAAAGCTATGTCTAATACAACTGCCGACGGTATCAGCTCATCGTTCGCCACGGTGTTACTAATAATCACGTCCATCGGCATCCTTTTTAACAACAAATAGCTATCTAAGATAGGCAACTCTGTCATTGAGTTCCTTGTCCCCTGTTGCTCTTCATCTTGCAACTTTTTTGAAAACATGTCCGCAATCTCCGATGTCGTACATTTCTCACAGACAGCGTCCTTAATCTCGTTGAAGTCGAGAATGTTCAAGCAATCACTGGCCCTAATTTTTTTTTTATAGGTATTCAGTACTTTCACGAAAAATTCTTTGTCGGCACTAAAAATGTCGGGGAGGCGTAACAAAACTTTGTTCACTCCACAAGCACGACATGCCGCCTTCAACGTAACTTCGTTATAGTTTATCCTTTCAGAACTTAATACCTTCAAGGTTTCGGTTTCCAACTCCACTTGTGGCACATGTCGCATTTTATCCTGTAAAAATACATTTTATATTTTTACTCGACTTTCATTAAACGTAAAAGGCTGAGAGATTCTGGTATAGAGGAAGTAAAGAGTACCCACCTTGTATTGCAGAAGAAGTTTCTCTGGAGAGCATCTCCTTGCTGCACTTTCTAATACCAAGTTAACGTCAATCTCGTCCAATAAATCTGCCAAGGCCATCTGCGCTGCCACAGATTTTGTCGCTTTGTTCGCTACTGTCTTCGAAAAGTAAACCGAATCGCTACTAGTACAAGTTCCAACAGTCTTTGTTTTTGGAGTTACTGGAGTTGCATTGCTGACAGGAGTAGATGAATTCACTGCACTTTCTGTTACAGAACCGGTAACTGCCTTAGATGGTCCAGGCTCTTGCAGGATGCATTCCGTGATATCGACGTCTTTAGACATCTCGGCCGCATTTTTTTCGGATACAACCATACTCTCAAATATATGGCTGCTTGGTTGACTTACTAGTATGCTGTTGTTTACTGAATTATTTTGCGTTTCATTATCTTGTAGCATTTCTTTCGGTGTGGATGTAGGTACATTGGTATTTACAGAAAAAGAAACTTTGTCACTACGCGAATCTTCGGTCGTTTCTTTTACAGTGCACATTTTCTCAAAACATTTTAGGATACTCTTCACAAACTCTACTTTCGAATTTCCCTTTACGGGAATTCTATTTATTTCACGTTCAGATAATCGAGCAAGATCGCCAATGGTCTGAATATTTTTGTTCATCAAGTGGGCGGACAAATTTTGCGCCCAGAGAGGATACGTTAAATGATCAATGATAGTTGCTACGGGTTTTTTACAGGACGTTAAAGCCGGATATATTGGATGAATGGAATCTAATAATTCAGGGTGTGGAATTTCTACATTAAACTCGTTCGAGCTCTCTTGACTTAAAGGTAAACTTGCGAATACTGAATCTGTTACTGGCAGAGTATCTTGATCTTGTATATTCTCCGACGTCTGTGTACTGGTTCTCATTAATTTGTTGCAGAAAATTTCATCAGAATTTGCTGAAGAATTCAATCCAGTGAGATTCGCTGCGTCTACTGTATCCTCTAAATTCTCAGAATTCGTACGTTTCTCCGATGAATGTTCTATTATGGACTCATTTTCAACATTGAATTTCAGAGAATCCAACATTATCGAATTAGCAACAGTTGTAGTTTGTGCAGCAGCCGTACCAAGATTAGAATTGACTTTTGATATTTTCATAGAATAATCATGTTCTGTATGTTTTCCAGCAAATATGTCTTCTTGCGTTTTTGAATCGTCCAGCTCGTTACACTCCAAGCTACTATTGGAATTTCTCGACATTTCTAGTATTTCGTCCTTTTTCGCTGTAGTTGCTTCTACGCGTTTAGAAAATGTCAAACCTTCAGTAACTTGGAATTCGCCACTTAACTTCTCCATTTTAATTTGATGTGTGTTAGCTGAAGTAGATTCATTTTCTGTAGCGCCGCACAATGTCTGTGTGTCCATAACGCACTCCGTGTATTCTAATTCTTCAGCTATTTTTGTTAACATTTCATTTTCTCTTTCACACTGTAAATCGACCTCGGTCGTACTCGCCGGATCAACATCCTCAGTGTTGTCCAGTTTGTCTAAGTCGATTGACATCATTCTGTGTTTAGTATGTTTCAATCTGAACGGTGAATCTTTACGCATCAAAAGACTACGTGAAGCAAATTTATTAGATTTATGAGGTGACTCAGTGGTCTCGTATCCCATTTCCTTTGAAACTGGAGGATCCGCGAAGCTTACCCTTTTCCTCTTACTAGGAGTTGTAGACTCCGGATCCGGTTCTGGGAAAGATTGACGTTGACGTTTCAATATGCTTGCGCTTGGAGACGCAGTTAACGAAGGTGGGTTTGCACTCGACCATTCCAAAATCGGCAATTCAACTGCTTCAGCTGAAGTCTCGTCGCTCGATTTGTCAATCTGAGCTTCGGTTTGCAAAGGTATACAATCGATCGATTTGTCCTTTGAGAAAAACTTTTCTCCGTCATTTTTCAAACTTGAAAATAATTTCATCGAAGGCGACGAACAATAATCTGCCGATCTCATATTACTGAATATCTTCTCCTGTCTGCTACTACATGCTGTCGTCACTTTATCAGTTTCCTTCAACGTCGTTGCTTGTTCTTTTTTACTAAGTACTGTATCGTTCTCAGTATCCTTTCCTTTTGTCTTTTTAACCGGCGGTGCGTCGTCTAAAGTTATAACGTTCGCCTCAGCTTCCATTCTTGCCTGCTTCGTTACCAATCCAAGCATGTGAGCCGCGCGTCCTTGCCCTGAATAAGGTTTAAATTTCATCTGACGCTTAACGTTACTCTTAGGCGACGGGAAGTCGAGTGATATCTTAGACGTCGATGGGTCGTTTATCTTTTGCGTTTCAGGTGCAACATCTTTTTCATTATCACACGGACTGGTCTCGATGACGTGAGTCGAAATCTTTGGTTCCACGGTACAGACTTCATTGACCTCATCAAATGCCTTAACACTATTTCTAGGAACTTCGTTATTGTCATTATCACAATTCAAATCAATGTCAGTTATTTCGCGATCTTCGACAACAGTTTCGTTAGTTCTCGCTGAGGGAGAAGTGTGCTCAACTTTACGAGTTTTAATCATGCACTGCACATCGTTAGATTTCTTGTCTGTTCCGGATAATTCTTGAGAACTTTCTATAATATCTTTCGTATCAGCCTGAGATTGAGTTTGACTTTCTTTGGATATGTCCTCATTTATGTCTTCGATTACATTACTCAGTTTATCATTACTGACCGTTTTACCGTTATCCTTAGATTTATCATCATGTATCATTTTTGAGATCTTTTCTTCCTGAACATTTTCATCATCCCGTTTCTCTTCTGCTTCCGTTTCTAACATGTCATTACTTTTTAAAGCTTCCTTCGCGCTCTCGGTTTTACTAATGTCAACATTTTGTTGTACTTTATTTATATTACATATTCTATTCTTGTCCAGTTTGAGTAATTGAGAATCTTCTATTATATCTTCCGTGTCATTCTCGATTTGAATGTTTTCATCGGCAAGCCCAGATTCAATATCTGTCTCTTGTGTGCGATTACTTGATTTACTATCTGATGAATTGCTCTCTTCGCTTCTCGCCTCATCTGTTTCGTTCTTCTTATTCGGCGAAGATTTTTTTACGTCGTCAACTTTTTTTACCTCTGTAGTTTTATCTGGTTTCTTCATTCTAGCCGGTTTACTGCTTTTGCCCTTTGGCTCTGGAATCTTCGATCTAGAATTCTTCAATTCCGGAGATTGCCTCTTGGGAGTGACTTCTCTAGTGTTGTCTTCGTGAGCCTTTGATCGACGGCAGGTTGATAAGGGACTGTCAAATATCATATTTATACGTAAACGGTGCATCTCCTTTCTTGTACGTTTGTCGACTTGACTCATGTCTTCTAAATTGAATGGTGCACTATCTTGTTCCGCGGACTTAACACTGTCGTCATCGCTGATCGGGTCCAACTGAGTAATTTTCCTTCGTTGGCGGTGGACAGGTCCTTCAGTTTCGTCTTCCAAAACTGATCTACGTTTAGTACCTCTTTTATCCTCTTTGGCCAATTTATTTTCTACGTTATCCAAAGACTGTTGCTTGTTAATCCTTATTAGATTTTCAAATTGGCTTCGCATCGCTTTCGTCCTTGTTCTTTGCAAGGTTTGAGCAGTACTTGATTGTCCTGGTTGACTGCTAGCAACATCCTCTGATTTTGCTAAAGTATTAGATCTCCCAGGAAAACTATAACGGCTACGTCGTTTACCACTATCTAACATAGACGGAGATAGTCTTTGGTCTTCTCTGTTTTCTGAAGATTCCTCCTGATTGGTGGATTTCACGTCTTTTGTCACGAAATCTGCTGACGGTTTCGTTTCAGCGATGTCAAAGGTGGTCTTGTCGGCAATTACCACCTGACTTCCTCTAGTTGAATTTTCATTATGGTCTACACTACTTTTTACTTTCTGTACAATTTCTAACGTCGAATTTTGTCCAACGCTTTCTACCGGCTTCGTATCATGTTCAATCGGTCTACTGATCATTTCTAATTCTTTCGCCTCGATCTTGTTTTCTTTGTTTGCATCGTCGTCCAATATGCTTTTTATCGAAGAGTTTTCTTTCTTATTCTGTCCTTTTTCTGTTTCCTCTAAACTTTTACTCTTCTTGTCGAACCATTCTTGCAGATTTTCAGTATCTTGTGAAGACGACTGTGACAAATCGGTATATATCGCTTGTATGTCTTCCCTTCTACGTTTAAGAGATTCCTTTTGATGCTCCGTTAAACGATTTACATCGAATTTCAAATCTGTCTTAATCAGGACATAATCCTGAGAGTCAGAATCAATTGATATTCTTTTTGTATCAACCGATGTCTTCTTGTCACTTTCTTTGACTGTTGATTTCTGACTAGTAGATTTTTGTAAGCTGCTAACTATCTTCACTGAATCAGCTGGTTTTTCGACTTGATTCTTTTTCTTCCCGTTGACTTCATATTTACTCATGAATTGTCCACGTGTCCAATTGCCCACTTTCTCTATATCTTCCAACAGTAATTTCCTACCATTACCTAGAATGTTTCGCGATTCGTATAAATCACTGTACCAGTCTAGTGTTTGACTTTGTATCTCAACGTATGGATGATTCAGTGCTTGGATAATTGCTTTCTTGTATAATAAAATAAGATCGGAATTTATTTCTTTATCAAGACCTTTGAAGACAATAAGTACAGTTTCCCACGTATTTTTCACTTCTTTGTGCAACTCTTCTAACGTCGTTTGGAGCATGGACTCTATTGCAGGTTTACACACGTGCAAATAAGGAAGTACTTTTTCCATACTTTGGACATAAATACTGATAATTACTGATGACAAAGCTTTAATCGCAAATTCACATTCGTTACTCTTACTATTATGTAAGAAATATATTATAAGCTCCACAAGAAGATGCGCAATCGATGGAACTTCCGTGTACGCCAGCAACAGTTTGTAGTTGATGGTACTTAATAGAACATCCAAACATTGTATGATAAGAGAGGAAGATTTGCCATTTTTTCTCAAACAGTCTTGCATTTTACTTGCAATATTCAATAATATCTCGTTAGATTTCACGCTTGACATAAGATCTGTTCGCATTTCGAATTGTTTGTACAAGTGTTTCCAAGCTTTCGATATTTCTTGAATTTTTTCTGGATCATCTGTACATAAATGAGCGAATGGGAACGCTACTATGGATTCAACAGTATTTAAATTATGATCTGCAGTGGTTCCTTCGTTAATTTCTTGTATATCGCTCATATACTTCCCTAACACGTCAGCCAAAATATGCCACAGTTCAAGAACAGTTTCCTTTTTAACGGCCGCACACGATTCATGTAGAGTATAATTCATTTTCTTCAGACAAGTAAATGCATGCGCATAATACACATTCTCCGTTTGAGATTTGATACAATGCCAAAGTAGACGTTTTAATGCACCATAATGTTCTTTATCCGTTTCGTTCATGATTGAAGGAGTTTGAAGAAACTTGAAAAGTAATCCCGACAATGTGTCATCTTGAAAATTAAAATTCTTACTCAGGTCGGTAATTTCGAATAAGATTAAGTCCAATATTAAATTTTTGATCATTGGTTTATTCCCAGCGTAATTTGTTAACTCCGTGATCACTGATACTATGTTCTTGTACATAACTCCTTTGTCTTCCATTTTCGATTCTTGCATGTAGTTAACTAAACTCGTCCACAATATTTTACCAAGCTGATATCTGTTTTTCATCTCTGCATCTGTGAGTTGGCTGAGGACAAGCAGAGCTTCTCCGACACTGTGAATAATGCTCTGATAGCATTGTTGGAAGACGGCATCAGTTATAGAATGCGGGAGTCGTTCTTCCAAAATTGCAGAAAACACTGCGTTCTCTTGTTTTGTGACAAGGAGCTGGCATAAAGCGTCAACAGCAACGAGTTTCGTTTTAAAGAATCTCTTTCCTGGCGAGGCAATTATGTCAAATTTTGAGGACAAAAACGGTGTGTCTCCGAGAGGTCCAAAACAAAAGTTCAAGAACTGTGTAATTACAGGATTTACACATTTAGCGATGTCCTTATAAAGTTTAATAATTACATGCCACCAGACTTCCAATTTCGTTAATGCTATCGACTCGGTTTTACTGTTCTTAGCATTCAACGGGATGCACAATAATTTTATCCGTCTAGGAGTGGCAAGCTCTTGTGGGTCTAGAGCGAAATTGTCGGCTAGTAACTTCCATGAAAGAAACGCTTGTCTAGAATATAAAACATATCACTTATTTCTCTATGCTTCTATCGACCAGTATTTCGAAATCATTCTGTACCTGCGTATAATTGTGTCTGTCGATTTAAACGCCTTCTCCTCGACACTTAGCAAATTATTTATTAAACTAGCACCACGGTGAAGATGCATACCAAGAAACTGAATGCTAATATTCCATTGCGTGGCCCAATCTAATTCACAAGCAGATACTAAAAGTAACATACGTTTCCAATACGTAGATTGCAACGCTGCCACATATTGATTCCATACGTTCGGTAATTTAGTATGAACGTGTGTCACTATATCTGTAGCTAGAGCTTGTTGCAGAAGTTTCAAAGCAGGACCTCTTTGTCTTTTATGACCCATATAAGCTAACAGTACTACTTTATCCATCAATAGCGCATTAAACTGTAAACGGAGAAAATTTAATATCTTTACATTTCTCTATCGTTACTCATGTATTTATTATATGAATACCCTTTGAGTTTTGATGTCTGATGTTATTTCAGCGATTTTATACAATCTCCTTAAGAAAGTTATACAATAATTAATTGTTTCCTCTTGTAATCTTTGGTCTTCTGATAATTGTTTGCTCTCAGCTTCTATTAGTGCCTGAATATTGTCTACACAAGCAGTTGGTGCTATCCAGGGCATTGTATTTGTTTGTATTGTACATAGACAATTATTAAAAATGTTTACAGCGTGTGGGTCATTAGCGAATGTTGATACAGCATTCTCTTCAACTACCTCTAATAATTTAAGAATTTTTAATCTGAAATTATAGGGAAGATATTAAGAAAAAAAGTATAAGATGATTAAATGATCTAGAAATCTGAACAAACCTATGCTTCTGACTTATTTGTGACATTGCTTCAAATAGATTCAGAGTATGGTCTTTAAACTCTCGAATGACCACATTTAACGTTTCATATGCTTCATTTTGTATATCATTATTTCCATATGCAAACGCATCTACAATTAGTTTACACAATTCTTTGTATTGTTCCTCCTTAATACCCTTTGTAGATTCTAATTTTCTGCTATTGCTAAAATAACATATCACCATTACAAGATTTTCTATAACAGTATAATGTAAATTTTGCGCTCCATTATAATGCAAATAGTTTACTTTTTACATTTCAGGGATATATAATACACACAGAATTGTTATAAATAGATGAAATATTCGAAGATAATTAGAAAATATTTTAATTTACGTAAGAACGAATCCCTTAATTAAATAATAAGGAAACATCATTTTCGTTCGGTAATTTTTAATAATCAACTTGAGGAGGAGAGTATCATCGAATTGGTACCTGCGAATGTAGGTTAAAGCCTCGCGTTTTTCCTTGATGTTGCTATTTTCCCGCAACATTTTCAGTATTCGCGGGAGAGACTGCATGTTGAAAGCCTTTCTAAAGATCTGTGTTTCTCCCAAAGAAAAGTTATGACGAGAGAATCTCGTTCATCGCATCAGCGAATATACCAGAGAGGATTTTCCGCGCAAATCTTGAAATGACGATAAGGTGAACCTATCCCGCGCCCTTCGGAACTGTGCGCTGTGCGCTTCACAAAGCCATTGAAACGAGTTCGCTCACCGATTTCCTTTTAGGAAGTACACATCTTTTTTTTAGACATTCAAACAAAATTATTCACAAGTAGAATTACAATTTACAATCGACAATCATACAATATATGTAACGGTTTATCTTAAAGGTTTTACATTTCCCGACGAGTTTGCAATAGCAATTCAGATTCTGTTTTCAATAAATTTACAGTATTTCGAATTTCAATGTGAACGATCACGTTAGTAGACGAACGACAATGTTCTTCCGTTTCTCACGAGCGTAAATTACGAGGACACTTTATTAGTTACACGACAGGATTCAAAAAAGTGAATATCAATAAAAATCTTACGGACGTGTTCCATTTGTTACGCGTGAAGTATGTAAGAAATAAAAATGGAAATGAAGTTGTTCACTTGTTTTGAATATTTTTCGTGATGTACAAAAGAAAACATGATAGGTTTTTTTATTTATAACGTTTGATAAAACGAGTAGCATCGCCAGATTTGCAATCAGCGATCAGCACTAACTAGTAGCCGGCAACGAGCCGAACGTGAATATTTTTTATTTCAATAGGAACATAGTACACATAAAATGGTATAAAAGTAGTACATGCAAAAACCTACAATCAATTTGTAATCTTACGTAAAAATTATATGCAGTTTCTGCACTTGTATTTACAACTATTTATTGTATCGTCACATTAAGAAAAAAGCCATAGCCGGACACTGTTGTCTCTGGTTTGTATTGTACTGTCACAAAATCTTTGCCCTGTGCTAAGAGCAACGATTGGTAAACTTCTGTGTAGACTTACTCCATTTATACAATCACGCGATAGATTTATCTTATATGCTACATTTATGTCTTCACAATTTAAATCATCTGGTATTTCCCAAACCAGCATTTCTCCGTTTGTACCTCCTAAAAATTAAGAATTGTATTTCCAACAAGTTTGATAATAGTAATTCATGAAAATACCTGAGACTATGCTCTTTCCATCGGGCATAATATTGAATTGAATTCTTTGATTTGTATCAGATTGACGTCCCTGTAGGGAAAAGAGTACAGTGCCCGGGTTACGTAAGTCCCAGCATAAAAATTCACTGTTACGTCGTACTGTCGAAAATAACTTGGTTCCACAAGGACTGAATTCAATTTGAGTCACACCATTCCCTGTTTTAAAACTGCATAGTGGACCATCTTTGTATACGCCTAATAAAATTACAAACACTATTAGCAATATCATTTTTACTAGTGTTACTATTGATTTTAATTTCACAATTAACTTCGATGCCCACCAATGTACTTGGAGTATGTACCAAAAGCGACTAATCCTGGCATAATTGGATTTTCTCTAATGCATGAAACTAATCCTGTTATATTGGGAAAGTCATTCTTAAATTGTATAGTATTTATCTGACGACCTGGGCGTTCCATGTCGAAAACTCTTAAAGCATTTTTAAAACCAGCCCACACTTCCTTAGCTGAGTCAATGAATTGGATACTGATTGAGGCTTCTACTTCGTCAACTCTAACAAAAAAATATATTTTTTATTTGAGAATTAAATTACAATTATTTATAAGAAATTGTCTCATTACTAACTGATTATAAGCTCTATATGTTGCCCGCAATTCACCATTGAAAGCATCCCATAAGTGTATGGGACTCTCCTTACTTGTACTCAAGAAACAGCAAGTTGCAGGTTCCCATGAATTCATAAAAGGATACCAACAAGTATCGTATATAAGTCCTCCTTCTTTTGCAGTTAATGCTGCTGACAACTTGGTAGATGACAGATTTAAAGGAATTTTTTCGCAATATAATTCTCTGGGAAGTTCGTAAACACGAATTCTAAAATCTTCAGAAGGTACTAATAGACAAGTCCCATCTGGAGACCAGTGACAACCCTTCGTAAAGTTCTCATATGATTCTGTAGGTTGATACTCCTCAATTGCTTCACATAATAATCTTGGTGGATTATTCCAATTATAATAAAACCTGTTGCTTGATTGTACTAGTTTTGCATCTTCTAATTCTTCAGTTTCTTTTATTGGATCTAATAAATGTTCATTATTTTCTTCTTTTGATAAATTCTCTGCAAGGTCTATCTCTAATTCTTCAGTAGAGATATCAACTTTTTGAAAATCCATTGATGCTTGGGTATTGGTTGTTTCATTCATTGCTGATGGTTTTTCAACTTCTAGTGACTCTAGTGCCTCTAGCTAATAAAATATGAAATGGTATGTTTATTATCAATGATTGCTCTACACGTGAAATTAAAATGATTAGATGATTAAAAAGAAGTTCGATTAACATTTCAAAACTTACCATGTCCTCTAGAGTCTCTTTTATTGCTTGTATATTTTCACATTCCATAGATAATAATAAAGAATGACATTAATTTATGGTTTAATTACATTTCGTTTTTAAGCGTAACGCATGTTCATAATTTTTATTATGTAGAAGACATTGAATTCACTTATTTTGTTCTTCATTACGTGAATGTTACCACGGTTAGGTTATTTTTACAGTAAACAAGTTTATTTAGTTGTAGAAAATTCTTACACAGTAATACATAGACTATTTTCATGTCTCCAATCAAACAATTCAAAACTTAATTTACGTAAATTAATAATCGTGTATAATACAAATAAATACAAAAAATACACTATTTGTGACAAATGATCCTGCCAAGTAGATATACCTTGTTATGGAAAGACTAAGTAGTGGAATTAAGAATAATCTAACTATGAATCTTGTAATCATATAATTGCTTCGCATTTTTATTGAAATATCGTTTTATTTAATAAAAGAGTAATTTACGAATTAAACAATTCACAAACGTACATTTAGGACAAGATTATAGACTGACTTGATTAGAAAATGATATAAAGAGTACGAAAATTGCCATTGGTCTTGTATGTCACCCAATTCTTAATCAAGTGTTGTAAAATTTTAACTTAGACTTAACTTAGAAATTTAGAACTTTA